TGTAAACTCATTATAGAAATAATAGTTTATTATTAATATTTTTCCCAATATATTGATTGATTGATTGATTAACATTAGCCTATCGAAAGTCAGTATAAATGAAAGTAAGAATAACAAGGTCATTTCACCATTTATGTAAATTTTTATCCAAATCATATACATATATATCTTCTATATAATGGAACTTTAATCCATAGTATTTTTGTAAGGAATGATGGATAGTGGCTAGCAGTGGAATCCAGCATACACGCTTCGTCCTATTTGGAACTCGTCAGCTGGATGTACCTGCATCACAGAGTTGATGTTCACTCTGGGACTCGAACCCAGTACCATTCGCTTCAAGCGCTATTGCGTTATCCACTCAGCTACTGAGTCCTGATAGCCACTTGCTTGTGCAATGGGGTGAATTTTAAATTCACTTGGTATTGATTGGCTTGTATCTTCCCATTGAGGTTTAAGACTGCAATTGATCAGTTTGTTATTGGCATATGTGCATACTGTGTATATGCCTCGATATCGCATTAATTCACAAGCTTTTTATGTAAGCAATGATGGATAGTGGCTAGCAGTGGAATCCAGGACGCGCGTTTTGTACAGCAGTCTTGGCTTTCAGTCTTAAACCTCAATGGGAAGATACAAGCCAAACAATACCAAGTGAATTTAATCCATAGTATTCTATATTTACATTTTTTATCAATACAGAATATAAAAACATTCTATTTGAACCTTAATTATTCTGAATTAATAATAAAATGTGCTTCTTATACTTGGTAAATTATATTAATCAACCTTGAAAATCTATAAATTCTTCATTTAGGTTAACTACATTCAATTCTTTAAATCAAGTCTCTCTGAAAATAATATTAAAACGGGAATAGTAACTTTTTGTTGTTGTTGCTGTTGTTACCCTCGTTTTTGTTGTTGTTGTTGCTGGTTGTGGGGATGGGGATGGTCTTAGTGGTGGTGTTGATTGAAATGGCATTTGAATTAGTATAAAAATTGTAAAGTAATTTCTACATAACTTTTTAGGTCATAAAAATGTTCTATTTATCTGTGTAATAATGTATATATATACATATATACATAGTTATTAATAATATGTATATAACGATATCCTTAAGCAAATTTAGATTAAATTATATTCGTATAAATGTTAACTGTATAAATGAATAAATTTAATAGAAAAAGATAATCAACATTCCCTGGAGAGTTGATTGTACAGTTAAATGAAATAATAATTGATAGATAATGGCTAATAGTAGAATCTAGGATTCGTGTTTCATCCTATTTGGGACTCGTCAGTTGAATGTAACTGTATCCTAGAGTTGATTTTTACTCCCAGGACTTGAATTCAGTACCGTTTACTGATAAAGCTTGTCAATTAAGGCTATATTGAGACAGTTTGCATAGGATGCTAACAAGAGACTGATCAATTGCAGCCCTAAACAACAAAGGGAAGATCATTGGTAAGGCTATTTAATGTTTGGGATAATAATGTTACAGAGGAAGTTAATATAGAAAGAATCTTTGATTTTATGTGAGAAAAGTGTTTTGAATTCACCTGCATCCTTGTACGATTATTTTCAATGAAACATAGAGACAATGTTTACCATTTCAAATGTCGGAACTTTATCTAGTAAAATATTATGTCACAATAGGCATTTAACAGAGTAAGATAGTACATTGTTTCTAAGAGTTCACATTTTCCCATTATTGATATTCTGAACGGAACTGATCAGCTTTCATTAGTTTGTTATCATAGTGAAAAGATACTTTGGTATTTCCTGAATTCATACATTGCTATGTGCCCAGTTGTCAATAATCATTGACCTGACAAGTAACATGCTGATGTTTACTGTTTTCGAGCGTATGCTTCACGAAGAGTAACAGGCCCAAATAAATAAGTAAGCAAGTTACTTTCGAGTACATTTAGGTTACTAAAATTAGTAAATGGTGCAAATTTATACTTTAAATCTATTACGTCAATACAAGTTAATGAGAATATTATTTAAGTAACAGATATGGTTGAATGCACAATCTGGTCAATGATTTGAAAATTAAACAGTAACTCGATAGTTATCAGAAGACGAAACCAATGGTCAACTAGTCGAATATACAATAGATAATTAAATCTGTTATTTTTATTGAACAAATATGGTATAGCTTAATCACCCATAAGACAATAAATACCTTATCAGTATAGGGTTGTGGATATTGTTGAGTTTAGACTGATATTGTAGACCATCAACGTTGATGATCCACATTGAACGATTGTGGGGCTACTTGAGTCGGACGGGAATGGTGTGACCAACAGCTAACATCGAAGTCACATCTCGAGGTCAGTACCTAACGTGGATTACCCCTTCGTGGTATCGAGGTACTATAGGTGCTTTAAAACCGTAAAACACAAGGGACGTTATTACGGAAACATATTAGCAAGAATGAGTACAGAGAAGATAATGAGACCACCACCACAAGGGATCGATGATCTGCTCGATATTCACTGGCCCAAATGCCGGATGATTTGGCTAGGGCTCAGTGACATTTTACTGGCCCTACAATACCATGAATGGATCAATTTAGACCACCACTGAAAACCTGGAAGCACTGAATGACCATTCCGTCCTAATATGAGACTCCTCTTCAGTGTGTATCCACGATCCCGCACGCGGAATCACGGGTGGAAATTAAAACTACTATAGTCCTAAAGAGATTCCATTTCTTTACACTGAATAAAAACCGAAGGACTAAGCTTTGAAGTTACATAAAAATTATGACTTCAATATATTATAATTCGTCTTTGTGCTCATTTTTTATATTTAATCCTAACTACGATTTTTGTGTTTTAAGAAAAGTCCATTTTCCGTTTGTTTGTTTTTTTCTTAATTAATTCTCATTCACGTAATGTAGTATTAAGCCACCATATTGAAAAAATAGATTTGTTTTCTAATCTGACTTTCTTATATTCTCTATTAACTTAAGTAGATAAATAAAAGTAGCCCAGTCGATCACCAGAAGAAATTGGAAGGAAGAAAGTAAGCGACCTTGTCTGACTTCGGTCCTTTCATGGAATGCATCTGTCAGTTGTCCTCCATGCACCACTTCACACTGTAATCCGTCAAAGTAGTAGTAGTAGTAGTAGCATTCGATTTTTCTTATGATTTACTGTTTTTGTCTTTTAGTAAAACTTTTATGGGATTTCAGAATGTTTATTTGGTCCATTATAAAGTGTTTTCTAACAACTCTTCCTCTGGTTATGTTTTTTTTACCTTATCGTGATATCTACTTTGGGCACTTATCAATCTCAAATGGTTTCTTTAAAGTACCTTGAATTGGTTGAGTTTGATATGATTCTTAACTGGACACATCATAATTGGATGTTATTCACTGTTATAAGGTTGTATATTTGCATTTACAGTATTACTTTTTATTAACCTTGAATACATTCTTACTGCCTTTTCGATTTATTTAGATTGAATATTGAGTCTATACTGAATACATTCAATTACGAAGTTTTAGAATCCAGAGCCAATTGTATTACTTGTATTTTACGAAAGGGATAAACAAGACTGAACTTGATAACAAGTATAAAACACATTTCCATTACTTCTTAGTTTCCAATACTTAACTAAGAGCATTTTGTAAAATTAAAAAATCTAAATCTTTTTAATAAGATAAATGTATATTATATAAAATCTAAGTTAAATTACGTCCAATAATGGTAACATAGAAGAATGTAAAGAATGAATATTATCATATACATAAATCAATTCGATTTTCTATATCAGTTCTCCTTCTCTCTCTCCCTCAGCCCCCTCTCTCTCTCAACCTCTCTCTCCCTCAACCCCCCCTCTCTCTCTCTCTTAGAAAATAATTAACCTGTACAATATAATTCGATGAATTCATCAATAGGTTTACATCCCTGTCAAAAAAAATATGTTAGAGTGATCCAGTAACTAACTAAATTACCTTGTATATTACCATTCGTTTATTTATCAATTGGATCATACTAAACAACAGAAACGTATATTGCGAAAGGTAAGCTTAATGGATAAAGATGTGTAATCTCATTTTTGGATATATATATATAAGAATACATAGTACAAGATCATGTTATTTATTGAACGAACTATGAACTATTGTTAACAAACAATCTAATGTGAATGCATTCTGTTATTTACTTTGATAGTGTGATGGTGGAGAAGATTTGTAGCTCAGGTGGATGATTTTGGTGGAGTTTTGTTCTCTGAGCCGGATGGTTAATCATTGAATATCATCATTAGAAGAAGTTAGATATTCATGTGAGATTCGTAAAACTTGTCACTATCTCATAATTAGTAAATGCTTAATTTGCAAAATGTCCACAATTTCCACCAAAATGACTCCGACTTCATTGTTCTTGCATTTTCATACAAATTGCATTCTGTTTCCATTCTTTACTGTTCGATCCTCTTGTTTCTCTGCTCTCAGACCTTTTGTTCATGACTAACATCATATACTACTTATGTCAATATAATTAGCACACACCACAATGCTACTAAAATAAAACCGATAATAGATTGAATAATTCAATGGCAAATTCTTCAACTATGATATTAGACCATATAAATTAGAGTTTGACTAGATCATCATAAAATATGAGTTCATAGTTCTGTAATAATTATGTCCAACTAGATACTACTAAACTCAATGGATTGAAATATCATGTACCAATGAAATGTGGAAATTCTTTTTTTTTTAAATTTATCCAATATTCTTCTCATCCTGCCCAATAAAATTCATAACATTTATACATCTACCATTCATATATCTATGCTTTTGCCTTCCATAACATTAGGTGAATACAAGTTAAAGTATTACATTGGTATCTTTTTTACAATTTTCACAATCATGACACAGTATTAAGTGTTAAATTGCATTTTCCTTCAGATGGTGGAGAAAATTTGAAGTTTGTATAGATGACTATGGTGAAGTTTCATTCTTTCAAATATATGGTTTACTCATGTAACTTTCATTGTCCTTCTAAACAATATCATCATCATCATCATCATCATCATCATCATCATCATCATCATCATCATCATCATCATCATCATCATCATCATCATCATCATCATCATCATCATCATCATCATCATCATCATCATCATCATCATCATCATCATCATCATCATCATCATCATCATCATCATCATCATCATCATCATCATCATCATCATCATCATCATCATCATCATCATCATCATCATCATCATCATCATCATCATCATCATCATCATCATCATCATCATCATCATCATCATCATCATCATCATCATCATCATCATCATCATCATCATCATCATCATCATCATCATCATCATCATCATCATCATCATCATCATCATCATCATCATCATCATCATCATCATCATCATCATCATCATCATCATCATCATCATCATCATCATCATCATCATCATCATCATCATCATCATCATCATCATCATCATCATCATCATCATCATCATCATCATCATCATCATCATCATCATCATCATCATCATCATCATCATCATCATCATCATCATCATCATCATCATCATCATCATCATCATCATCATCATCATCATCATCATCATCATCATCATCATCATCATCATCATCATCATCATCATCATCATCATCATCATCATCATCATCATCATCATCATCATCATCATCATCATCATCATCATCATCATCATCATCATCATCATCATCATCATCATCATCATCATCATCATCATCATCATCATCATCATCATCATCATCATCATCATCATCATCATCATCATCATCATCATCATCATCATCATCATCATCATCATCATCATCATCATCATCATCATCATCATCATCATCATCATCATCATCATCATCATCATCATCATCATCATCATCATCATCATCATCATCATCATCATCATCATCATCATCATCATCATGAACTTTAAGTCGAAGTCACTAAATTCAGCATGTTATTTTTGTTTTGTCTACTTATTTATTTATGAATTCAATCTTATACGTGTAACTTCATCAATTAATATCTCACAATGTGAAATCATACGGAATTTAAACTAACTTTCTGTATCTAAACACAATTTCAATGACGTAAGAATAAATATTATTGAAAATAGTAACAAAATTAATAATAGAGCATAATAATAGACAAAGATGGATAGTGAAATCTATGACACACGTTTCGTCCTATTTGAGACGCGTCAGCTGGATGTATCTGCATCCCGGATTTGATATTCACTCTGCGACTTGTAATCAGTACCATTCGCTTTAAACGCCAACGAATTGTCTACAATACCAAGTAGATATTAAGTGTAATAATGTTTAGTATGACTTTAAGGAGGAAAATATTGTCTGTAAAATTCTCATTGATTTCACTTTAAGTAAATCCAACGTGTTATATTAATTCAGCTTTTAATTACTTTGAAGCTATTCGTTCAAATTTAAATAAAAGTCTGCATCAAATTCATTATGACTTTTCTTTATCATTAAGGAGGAATCTGTATGCGAAACAATAACGCAAGTAAGAATGTACAAAATTTAATGTTATGCAGCTAAAATTGAAAATTTCAAATGTTGAATTTATGATTCGATGTAAGCTAGACCACCATTGAAAACCTGGAAGTACTGGACGGTCGTTTCGTCCCAGCACTGGACTCCTCAGTAGCGCGCGTTCACGATCCCGCATTTGGGACTGGAAGCCATGATTTTGGGTCTCACGAGCGAACGCTTGACTCCTCGACCACTGAGCCGGCATCCAACGGTGTTAATGTCTTCAAGATGATTTCATAGAGTTTTGGTGAGAAGCCATGAACAGTGGACTGCCTAGAGGAGTCAAAATTTTACGTCTTTAGGTATGTTGTTTGGAACTTGATATGGAACAGAAAAAGCTTCATTTATTTCAATTTAATGATGCAGTTCATAGATTTCGTTACATCTTTTCTTAACAATTCATTTACAGGCTCACAAGCATAATTCAATAATATTATTTATATAGAAAGTTTGAAAAGACCGATTTATTCTGAAAATGGTTTTGATACCTAGAAATTCTAGGAATTTAAATTTTAGCGCTTCCTCACAAAATGACTAAGCAAAGGTCTAGTAAAGAAAGAAAACAGCTCGAGATTGGCCTATTTAATGGAAGTCGGTCATGGTGCCAGCACAAGCCAATCTTTTTCATTTATTCATCGGGTTAACAATTTTTTTTTACCAAAGCCTGTCAGATTCAAAGTCCTTCAAAGCCACCTGGATTAAGAAACCGGAGCCAAGTGTACAAAAGAATTATCTTCAGGTGCTCCTACTGCCTTGACCAAAGTCACTTCCAATTAATCAATAGTAATTTTAGCTATTGAATGACCGAATTTGACTAATTCACTTATAACCTTTCTTAGTCTTTGTTATCTTTATTATTATTATTATTATTATTATTATTCACATGCTTTAAACGATGTACTGTAGCCTTAATCTGATAATCTTTCGGATGATTAATTTGGATATATGAATCGTTGAACCTGAAGAGGATTTATCGAAAAGAATATTCATTGTTCAAATATTAGTCTTTTAATATTACGGGGATTTTTAAAAACTACATTAATAGTTGGCGGATATGAAGGATACACATAGGGGAGTTGAAAAACCCTGATTCCAAACTAATGGGGCACATGAACTCCAGGATCCTGAGGGAACAAATGGCTTATGAATCTATTGTTGGTCACCGGCCACCATAAGACTGCATCTCCTAACGTTGCTCCACTGTTTTGTGGATTAGATCTCTTGATCAAAGGCTCCGGGTTTGGCCTCCTAAGAAAATCACCTGCTTTGATTTGGGCATCCTGACAATATCACAGCCCTTAAACAAATCAATGATAACTACTACTAGCCTCATTGTTAACGTGTGGCGCATATGTATTCGGTGCCCTCTTGTACCAATGTTTATGTGTTAAAATAAATAATACATTAGTTGTTGCAGGAACATGATGAATTACAATTCAAGATTGACAATTGTTTTGTTTCTGAACAAATTATTTGGATTGAATTCGTTTAGTAATCGATGTAAAACTAATAAATACATGATAATAGACCGGATCAGACAAAGAAATGTAACTTGTTATAAATTGATATTTTGGTTCAAGTTGAAAATAAAATAAATAAAATGCATTCATACTTACCTATTTACACGTGTTACCCATCAAGGAGGAGCCTTGACCACCCAACATCATTCGCCATCCAACCCTGTCGTGCTATTTATCCTTTACGTTTCTGCCTCCTCGACATGGTGTGGTCTTTAGTATTCAACATCTCCTTTGGCCATGAGGATTCCAAGTGAGGGCTTACATTGTGACACAGTTGTGTGCCTTCCTCAATGTGTGTCCTATCCACTTCCAACACTTCTTCCTGATTTCTTCCTCCACTGGGATCTAGTTTGTTCTCTCCAAAAATAGGCTGTTTCTGATAGTGTCTGGCCAATGGATCCGAAGTATTTTTCATAGACAACTGTTGATAAACACTTGTATTTTCTGGATGATGGCCATGTTTCCACCCCATACAGTAGAAATGTTTTGACATTTGTATTGAACATTCTGACTTTGTTGTTGGTTGACAGACAATTGTTTTAAGTTCCAGATGTTCTTTTTCTTCTTTTTCTTCTTCTTCTTCAACAACAACAACAACAACAATCAGGTCTAATTATTTTTCTTGAAAAGAATAATTTTTCCTCTACATATTTCTCTAATTTTAGTTTTGCTTTGAGGTAAAAACAAAAATTCCAATTTCCAAATGAATGAACTAAAACCTACTCCATATTGTAAAAATCATTAATCGGCGGAAAGTATTCCACTACTGGGCATGTTTATCAAAATATAGATAGAAGTTATATTGTCTGCTTTAAAACAGATCGAATATGATTAATTAGAATCCTTTTGTGTGCGTGTGTTTGTTTCTATGTGTGTGTGTGTTTGCCCTCCGTGTGTGTGTGTTTGTGATAATCTTGTTCCTATGTGAACTGATAAATATTGAAAATAAGATTATAAATTATATGAAAACTATAATTCACATAGAAAATAGAAAATCATTGAATCAAACAAATAAAATGTAAATCTCAATAGTTGAGATAATGAATCAATTGAAATTAGACTACCATGAAAAAACATGAAAGCACTAGAAGGCAGTTTCGTCTTATTGTGGGACTATATAGCAGTGTACTTGGTAGTCTAGTTTCAATGGACTCATGATCTCAAATATTAAAAATTACTATGATATCCAAAAAATCCCTTCTGATGATATTAATCAACATATATTCACTAGTGACGGTCTCCAAGAAACATTTCCTGGAGTTCTAGTGAGAAGCAGTGACCAGTGGAGTTCAACTAGGTCTGTTGTGAGATAGTAACCAACTGATGACAATGATGGATGTGTCTCTCGATTTTGTAGATTAGTTGAAGTCATATATTAATACCGTTTAATGCCGACTCAATAGTTTAGTGGTTAAGCGGTCGAGAGCGAGACTGATGGATCCTGTGTTTGAATCTCGTGAGTCGGGATCGTGGATGAACATTGGTGAAGAGTCTCATTCATAGGACGAAACTGCGGTTCAGTGCTTCGAGGTTTTCCATGGTGGTCTAAATTCAATTGACTCATAATCTGAACTAATGAAATTACTACAATTCCCAAAAAAGCTCTTCTGATAGAAATAGGATGTATTTTTTGGAGAGCTAAAACAGCAGATAAGATATATTTAATTAAAATAGTCTAAATATTCCATATTATAAATTTTTATGCATTACGTTTGGTTTGTACAGGACAAGATTACTGAAGTTGAAGAATGTATGGAACTCAAAACAACTGTTTGTTAATCAATATCAAAGTCACAATCTTCAATATGAACGTCAAGACAGTCCTAATGTATGAAACTGAAATGTGGAGAACTACCAAAACCATCATCAAGAAGGTACAAGTATTTATAAATAGTTGTTTACGCAAGATACTCAATATCAGCAACAGCCTATTATGGGATAGAAAAAAACCAGCATGCATATGAAGAGGAAATTAGGAAATAATGTTGGAAGTGGATAGGACATACATTACGCAAATCATCAAACTGCATCACGAGTCAAACCCTAAGTTGAAATCCTGAAGGGACATGGAAAAAAAGGAAGACCAATAGAACACATTATGTCGAGAAATAGAATCAGATATGAAAAGGATAAATAACAACTGAAAAGAGCTGGAAAATATTGCCTATGACAGAGTTAGATAGAGAGTATTGATCGGCGGTCTATGCTCCTTCACAAGAAGTAACAAGCATAATTAAAGAAGTAAGTAAGTTGATTTTAAATAATTCTTTAATTAACATTACTTTCTGATTGTACAATGACATAAAGTCTTAAACTAGAACAATATTACTACTTAGTATTTCATTAGTTTAAATAGTTCATTAACTCATGTTAACAATGAACAATTTTTCTTCCAAACTATATACATTACTTAAATAGAATTACTATAGTGAATTGATTGCATAGATAAGTAATAGATTATATGTATTACAGTTTTGCAGATAGATAATTCTATTGCTAATGGTAGTTGGTAGTTCATTATGAAGAAGAATTACATGTATTTTAGAATACTAATAAATCAACAATAATAGATAGTGGCTTGTTCCAGTTTGTTTGTTTGTTTGTTGAAATATAACAATATTTCATATGGCTTCTACCTTTCTGGTAATATATATATAACACCAGTACACAGATAATACAACTGCATCTAACAGTTTGTATCTACCGCGTTTTTCTTTGTTTCTTTTCCTTAGTTTTTTTGTTTTACCATTTCATGTTACATGTAATATGCACATCTAAACAATGAAGGAGTCCCATACTAGGACGAAACGGCCGTCCAGTGCTTCCAGGTTTTCAATGGTGGTCTAGCTTCAACT